ACAGACAGAAATGCCTACTAATGTAACAATAATACAAATAAGTAAACAGTCCCTAGAAATTAATGAAAATAAAGAAACAAGAATAAACTAAAAAGTAATACAAATAAAAAATAATAAGCAAAGTAAAATTAAACAAAAAAACTGAAGAGTATGTATCATTTGTCTATAGTTTCCTGATTCATCTTCAAGCTGTGCCGGCTCTCTAAATAAAAGATTCCAAAGTGTATTAGGCTTCTGAAGCTGCTGCAACGAATTACCACAAACTTGGTGGTATAAAGCAGCAGAAATTTGTTCTCCCCCAGTCCTGGGGGCTAGAAGTCTGGAACTCAGTAGGGCATACTCCCTTCAAGGTCTCTAAAGGAGACTCTGTTCTTGCGTCTCTCAGCTCTGGCAGCTGCCTGTGTCCCTTGGCTTGTGGCCACATCTCTCTGTTCTGTCATCATATGGGCTTTTCTTCTGTGTGTGTCTCTCTTTGCCTCTTTCTCGTAAGGACCCTTGTGGTGGCATCTGGCACAACACAGATAATCCTGGGCAATCTTTAACTCAGTTGATCAATCTGTTATATCAGATGATATTCACTCTTTTGACATAGCAGCATTTACAGATTCTGGTAATTACTAAGTGGATACCTTTGACAATGTTTAGTCTATTACACAAAGGAAAGGGATTTTTTTTTTAAACCAGGAACACAAACAATCAGGTTTAGGAATACATGCATGAGCCTCTTACCTACTCTCCATCAGTGCCTGCTCTTGATTTGTATCTGGAAGACAGTGCAGTAGAGGAAGGTCTTTCCAGACAGTGATATGGGAATCGCCTGCCTGTATCAACTAACCTGGTGCACTTATTAAAAAGGCACATTCCTGGGCGTGACCCCAGATGCAATAAATCAGATGGTAAAGAAAGGGGAGAAGCGGGTATGCTCAGGGTTCAGAATTTTAACAAAGTTATCAGGTGATTTTTTTTTGAGACAGGGTCTTGCTCTGTCACTCAGGCTGGAATACAATGGTGCAATCACAGCCACTGTAGCCTCGACCGCTCAGGCTCCAGTGATCCTCCCACCTCAGCCTCCTAAAGTGCTGGGATTATGGGCATGACCCACTGTGCCGGGCCTCAGGTGATTTTTATTCATATAAATTTGTGACCCACTGTGATGGTGGCTGGAATAGCAGAATCATTAGACTTTGGCGCATGCAAATCACCAGTGGTGCCCATTCCCCCTCAGCTCTCTGGCTATTGCCTTCTGGAGATCCTAATGACATACACTGGGTGGGAACCAGACTCTATTTAACAAGCTCCTTAGAAGAATGCGATATACACCAAAATGTGAATACTACAATACTCCATTTCCTCAAGTTTTTTTTTTTTTTTATGATAAGAATCACCAATAGCACTTGCTAAAAATGTACATTTAGTACCCCTTCCAAGATCAGGTGGATCAGAATCTCCAGAACAGGAACCTGGGGAGATGAATATTTAGTAAGCATGTCAGATGCTTCTTATTGTGCGACAAGGTTGGGAACCTTTGGGCTAGAACACAAACCTGGATTAAACAGTTCTGAATTCCATTCTGTATGGCAATGGGCATGCCTCAATGTCTGCACGTAGAAAATGTGAGTCAGGGTACCACTGCATGGAGGTTATGCAAGGATTAAATGAGTCATTGGAAGAGTTTTGAGCTCCTTGAAGGTAGGATTTATGACATTTGAGTCTGCAACATTTCACAGAGCCCAGTTCAGGGCCTTGCAGAGGAAATGTTTCTGCAGCCCATTCCTCCATCTGATGCTTCAGTCTCTCCACAGCACCCTCTTCAGGCAGATCGCTGCCTTCTTATCCTGTACCTCTGAGGCAGCCCTAACCGCAGTGACTTTCATGAGAGCAAATTGGAGGCAGGAGCTATATTTCTGTGATTTACAGCTACGGGCTTTGGGATAGGAATAGAGAATAATGTTGATGGGTAAACAGCTAAATGAACAAGTATAGAGCCACCAAGCACAGTTGTGCAGTGTGTGTATTGCACAGTCCTAGAGAATGCCATTTATATAGACCTCAATGCTGAATTGGCATTCTCCATCCCCCTTATTCTAAATAACACTTGTCATTACCTATTTATTGTGCTTATTATTTGTTTTTGGTTACTCCTTCAACCACTAGAATGGAAGCTCCCTCAGGCAAGAGTTTTTTGGTTTTTGTTTACTGCATTACCCTCCAATACTTAGAAGAGTACCTGGCATGGGATAGGTGTTCTATCAATATTGATTGAAGAAAGTGAGAATAAATAATGAAGGCAGTGAGGAATGTACACTGGGGATCTTTCAGGCTTTGCTATCATTCATTAAGTATGTGTTACATACAAATCATGTTGCTAGATGCTAAATAACACAGAAAGAAGATTGCAATAATATTGTAATCATAATATTGTCTTAAAAAGAGAAAATCAGAATCATATTAACATAATCAATTCGTAATTATTGTTAGTTTATGGCAATAGAGTTACGATTACAAATATACCATGTCTGGAATGAAATTTTGCTCTCAAAATTCTTATAAACTTTATACGTCATTTTGAGTTAGGTAGGACAATGAATTCTGCATTCTGTTTTTGTTTTTGAGACAAACTCTTACTCTTTCTCTCAGGCTGAAATGCAGCGGTGTGCTCACAGCTCACTGCAGCCTCTGCCTTCTGGGCTCCAGCAATCCTCCCACCTCAGCCTCCCGAGTAGCTGGGATCACAGGCATGCACCACTGCACCAAGCTAATTTTGGTATTTTTTGTAGAGATGGGATTTTGCCATGTTGCCTAGGCAGTTCTCAAGCTCCTAAGCTCAAGCAATCCACCAGCCTCAGCTTCCCAAAGTGCTGAAATTTTAGGCATGAGCCATTGAGCTCAGCCTATTCTCCACTCTCAACACCAAGAAACTGAGACACAGAAGCAAACTGTCTTGTCAAGGTAACAGAGAGGTTTAGAAAAGATGCTAGTACAAGAAAAAAATGGACCTGGATTGTGCTTTAAAAAAATGATTATCTGGTCAGGCTCAGTGGCTCATGCCTGTAATCCCAGCACTTTAGGAAGCTGAGATGAGTGGATCACAAGGTCAGGGATTTGAGACCAGCCTGGCCAAGATGGCAAAACCCCATCTCTATTAAAAGTACAAAAATTTGCCTTGTGTGGTGGCAGACACCTGTAATCCCCACTACTTGGGAGGCTGAGGCAGGAGAATCGCTTGAACCTGGGAGGCGGAGGTTGCAGCGAGCCAAGATTATGCCATGGCACTCTAGCCTGGGTGACAGAGCAAGACTCCGTCTCAAAAAAGAAAAAAAAAGATTACCTTTTAATGCTCTACTCAGCATCCCATTCACAAGCTCTGTCAGGTTAAGTGCGGACAGATCGATTGACCCTGCAGGCAGCTCTGAAAGAGATTCAGAGAAAACGTCACTGGCAGGCTTTTCTTGGCGAGAGAAAAATTCCACATTTCCAAACTTCAGGCGGATATTCAACTTCTTTGCACATGTGCTGAACGCAAACCAAGTGCCAGGCACAAGGGTTCCAGGTCAAGAGGAGAGCCCTGACCTCAGGAGGTGATGGTCAACATAGTGACAAATAAGATAAGGAAATTCCAGTGAAGCACAAGAGACATATACTTTTAGTGACTATTGCATGTTTGCATTTGGAGAGATTCGGGATTCATGAAAGATATCTCAACCATAATGGGAAGACCAAGCGCAATGCAGGAGTTCTGAGCAGCTCTGTGTTTGAAAGTAAGTGCCCCATGTAAACGCAGGGTCCACCCACCCTGGCTGAGCATTGACATCACCTGGAAATATATATTTTCTAATTACACAATTCCAGTGCATGGGCTTTATCCTCAGAAATTCAGAATTAATAGGTCCAGGACCTGACCCAGGATGGAAGGAGAAATCTCCCAGCAGTAGCAGTAGTGGCAGTGGGCAGCGGGTTGAGTTAAAATTCCCGCTTCCCCCAGCTAGTCCTTAAAGATTTGAAAACAACAGTTGACAAGATGGAAATAGTTGTTGATGCTCCTGTTTATTCAAACACTGTCTTCTTCAGCCTTTGCTTAATGATCAGGTAATGATTAGGGAGATGATGTTGGCTCCACTGTAGGAAAGAACAGAGGTTTAGAGAAGTGGAGGAATTGCTCCGCAGCCCAAGCAACCCGGGGATTTTGGGGAGAGAAACTCACCCGTGGTAGCGAGAAATGCCACGCCTTTCTCCTTCTTCTCTTCTCCTCTGAGGCCAGACACTAGGAAGGAAACAGTTTTCATGAGAATAATGCAAGTGGTTACAGTTCCTACCCCCAGGAACTGAAGAAGCCTTGGAAGCCTCTCTGGCAGCTGCCCTCTGTGTGAATCACTGGCAGACACGGAGAAAAGGCAGATCCCAGACTCTTCTGCATGACCCTGATACAGATTTTGATCTCCGTGGAGTGGGTGTGGCCTAGAAATCCACATTTTAATAAATAAGCTTGGTGATTAAGCTTATTTATTGGTGATTAGGCTTGTGCAGTTAGGCAAGTTTTTTCTCTTTCTCAGGGCCTCAGTTTCCCAGTTTCCAAACTTCCCAGGTAGGGAAACTGAGGCCCAGAGAGGAGAAAAAACTTGCCTAACTGTACAACTAAGTCATAATGAAGGGCTCAGAACCTACTTTTTAGAACTGTAGACCGTGGCCAAAATATTAGGCCTCTTGCCTACTTGGCAAATTTCATGTGACCAAAGAAGAAAATGTCAAAGAAAAATTTGAAAATTCAAAGGCATTCATTCATTCATTCTTCATTCGTTCATTCAAGAAATATTCACGGAGGGCCAAGCAATATGCTAGGCAATATGAAGTGGTAGAGGGGAACGAACCCGGTCTACAGCACCATGAGCTTCCTGTGTGTGATCTGGTCAGGGAGGAGAAGACTCACATGTCGTGACAAGAGAGGAGAGTCAACTTGGCGCTGGGAGTACCGGGGCACTAGCCTGGTGTCAGGGATGGAGAAGGCCTTCTTGTGGAAGTGCCGTTAAGCACAGGCCAGAAGGATCAGTTCCTCTGGATTACGTGCATTACTACTACTGCTGTAGTGGTCATTTTTCATGTTACATCTGGAAGGTGCCTTATTTTACATTTTATTTTGTTAAATTAAATGAGACAGAGGTGACATGTCTTGTCAGGGTCACAGAGAGGTTCAGAAAAGAAGCTGGTACAAAAAAAGCTAGTATCAGATGTAACATGAAAAATGACCACAGCAAAAGTAGGTACCAGCAGGAAGAAGAAGGCGCTTTATTTTAAATTTTCATTTTACAAATGGAAAACAAGCCACAGAGTCTGAGAAATGTCCCCCGCATGACAGAGTAAGTCAAGATTTAGGGCTGATGTAGTTACCCACCACACCAAGGAATGTCCCATCTTTTTCCTTCTTAACATCTTTATTTCCAGACACTGAAATAAAAGTTTTCATGAATAAAATAGTAACATGAAAGTACAGCCTCAAACAATTCATAACATCCTTAGAAATCATCTTGTCCAAAACTCCCTTTAAGAATGAATAAACTGAAATCCCCCAAACTTAAGTTCATGTACCTAAATCGCATATTGGTCTATTGGCTAAGATAAAACCAGAAAAGAGCAATCTCAACTCTTCGTCCATGTTCTTCTGTCTCACTTCTTTTTAGTTTACTTTTTTAGTTAAATTAATTTTTAATTTTATTGAAAAACATTTATGAAATCTACTCTGTTAACATTTGTTTTTTTTACACGGAGTCTTACTCTGTTGCCCAGGCTGGAGTGCAGTGGTGTGATCTCAGCTCACTGCAACCTCCGCCTCCCGGGTTCACATGATTCTTCTGCCTCAGCCTCCTGAGTAGCTGGGATTACAGGCACGCACCATAATGCCCGGCAAATTTTTGCATTTTTAGTAGAGACGGGGTTTTACCGTGTTGTTCAGGCTGGTCTCAAACTCCTGACTTCTTGATCCACCTGCTTTGGCCTCCCAAAGTGCTGGGATTACAGACATAAGTCACCGCGCCCGGCCCAACTTTCAAGTGCACAATACGGTATTGTTACCTATCGTTACTATGCTGCACAGCAGATCTTTAGAACTTACTAATCTTGCATAACTCCGTGAAATTTCATACTCACGGAACAACAAACTTCACATTTCCCTCTCCTAAGCCCGTGGTGACTACCTTTCTACTCTCTGCTTCTGTGAGGTTCCCTATTTAAACACTTCATGTAAGTGGTATCATGCAGTATTTGTCCTTCTGTGACTGGTTCATTTCACTTAGCACACGACCCTCCAGGTTCACTCATGTTATTGCATATGGCAACATTTTCTTATTTAAGACTGAATAGTATTGCATTGTATGTATATGCCATATTTCCTGTTTCTGTTCATCCCTCAATGAACATTTAGGTTGCTATCTTCTGCTTTTTAGATACTGTGTTGAAAGTGAGTCAAGTCAACTGTTGCTTGCTTAAGCCAATTTGGCCTTTTACCAGTTACCAAGCTTTCTGGTTAAATATCAGAGCTTCTGTGATTAGAGGTAGGTGGGGACTCTAACTCCCCTTCCTCATAACAGGGCTACTGTAGGCAAGGGGCTTACTTCACAACAAAAGGAAGTCTGAGACAGACATAATTAAGCAGGGTAAATGCTGCCAACCAGCCAGCTCTCTAGCTTGAGAGAGGCCACTCCACCCTCTGAGGCACCTGCGTGGCACTTTACCTGAGAAGTCTACTCTGCAGCAGCTGCTATCAGATCTGAGGGAGGCACCAATCAACCTTGCCTGTGATCTGCTCAGGCAACAGAGTCCTCCATGAGGGTCAGGGACCAGGGTTATCTCCATTCTAGGTCTCCAGGCAGCAGGATTCCCATACTTTTCCTGCCAGAATGGAGGGGCCTGTGTCATCTTTCTCATTGAGCACCTTTCTTTAGTTCCATTCCTTTTACTAAGGAAAGATTATTTCTACCACTCCTTTTTTAAGTTACAAATCCTTGGGTGGATTTTGAAAACAATATTTCAAGTCTGAACTAAACACCAGTGGAACACAGAGTTCTGAATAGGATATAATTAGAAGCATTTTTCAAATAAGTTCCCTGACAGATTATGAAAAGACATTTTTCTATTTCTGGATAAAAAGACCACCATAATGTCATTAAAATAGAAGTCTCCTTGCACTGTTTATACTTCTTCATGCTTAGTATTTTATCACCCTTTTATCCTTCATGATTACCTGTGGGAAGGAATTGTTGTTCCCATTTAAGGGGGAGAGAATTAGAGGCTCAGATAAGAACAATATTTGTGGAAAACTATTCTACTTACACAATAAATTGCTACAATTGGTGCTCTCAGGAAAAGGAAACTGCTGACTGGGGGAACACTTTAATTTATACACTTTTGTACATTTTGCTATTTGAACTACATGAATGTTCTAATTAAAAATAAATAACAGTATAAAAATTGTCCAGCCCTGGTGTCTCACACCTGTAATCCTAGCACTTTGGAAGGCTTGGCCAAGTGGATCTCCTCAGCTTGGGAGTTCAAGACCAGCCTGGCAACATGATGAAACCCCGTCTCTTCCAAAATACAAAATATTAGCTAGGCACAGTGGCATATGTCTGTGATCCTAGCTATCAGGAGGCTGAGGTAGGAGAATCTGTTGAGCCTGGGGGTGGAGGTTGCATTGAGTTGAGATCCTGCCACTGCCCTCCCACCTGGGTGACAGAGTAAGACCTGTCTCAAAAAAAAAAATGAATAAAAATAAAAAGTCACATAATTTCTTCAAAAACAAAAACCAAAACCATAACAAAAAAATTATCCTGCTTGTTTGCTAAAAATTTAGAAACAGAAACGGCTCCCTGACCCCTCTTGTCCTTTCTGTTGCAAGTATTCACCATTGTACTGCATAGCATCAAAAAGGAGAGGCAAAGAAAAATGAAATTATTACAAAGGCGATGATGGCAAGTAACAACACCTCCCATTGTACAATATTCTATCGCCAATGGAATGTCACAGTCTTTGTGGATTAAGATCACAAGGATTCAAGTATTCAATAAACCATAAAGAAATGAGCAGCTCACAGGAACCATTGTTGTGACCATTACAGTGTTAGATATGGATGTATCACTATCTTAACAGTAGAGAACGTAAAAAGCTTCGGGAAGCCCAGGAATTTGCCCAAGAACAGTAAGCTAAAAAGAAGCTCTTACCGCCCACTTACCTGTGGTAGGTAGGAAGGTCATTTCCTTCTCTTTCTTGGTTTCCCCTTCGATGCCAGACACTAAAGTAAAAAAGGTTTAATCAGAGAAATTATAACCAAGATATAATACCAGAGAGAATTCAGTTCAACATACCTATTTTACAGATAAGAGAATTATGATCTGGGATTGTGAAGTGGCATTTAAAATCCCACATCTTGTTTGTTCGTTCATTTAATCATTTAGTCATCAAATATTTGCTGACCAGCTGCTAATGATGGCTCATGCTATTGAGTGCCTAGTATTTACTAGGCATTGTGTGTGCTGGAAAGGCAGACACGTAGGCAAACAACATTGAATACCTTGAAGGGAATGGTGAGGGTATGTAACAGGGGGCTTATCTAGTCTCAGGAATCTGGAAGCCTTCCCTGAGAGTGGATGCTGAGCTAATCTCTGAAGAACATATAGCATTTGAGTAGGACTTAACTGGTGGGGTGAATATTTGATGTATAGAGAACAGCACAAACCCAGTGTCTGATGTGGCATGAGTGTTACTTTAAAGAATTGAAAGAAGGGCAACAGTGATGGGGGCATAAAGAATGAGGGAGGTGGAGGGGTAGAAAGTGGGGAGGGAGAGGAAGGCCGTGTCATGCAGAGCCTGAAAAGGACCTGGTACACTACACAGAGAGAAGTGGGAAGTCAGTGAATAATTTGGGGCAGGGGGAGAGAAAAGAGGGAGGAACTTGGAAGATGACATAATAAGATTTATAAAAAGATCACTCAGGCTGATTGCTGGTGAATGGGTCATGGAAAGACAAGAGGAGAAGCTGGTTTGGAAAGCTCTCTCATCATCTGGGAAAAGGAAAATGATGTTTTGGACAAAGGTGGTAGCAGTGGAGGTGAAGAGAATTCTTTTGCATACATGGGACTCAAATGCAAAAAGTCAAGGGAAAAACAGAAATAGGGAAGTTATTTTTACCATTTGAACAGACTCATTTAAGACTCTGGGCAGAAATGTTGGTGGCTGAGTTTCTGTAAAGCACAATGGATACTCAAGCTTAGTATACAGAACAGACACTTCCAGAACTCCAACCAGACCCACCTGTGTTCCAAAGGGACAAGACACACGCCATACCCATGCACAGCCTCACTGGAGGACCACGTGACAGGAAGCCCAGCATGCCTGTGATATTCTGGCCCACCTGGAAGGAAGCAAGCAGGCACCTGAGGAAACCGGCTAGGTTACTAAGCACGTTTGTAACGCGGAGCTTTCTTTGAGGATAGTGCATGAAGAATCATTAAAACCATAATCTGAAAAAGGCTTTGTACAGGTTAGGAGAGGTTAGGAAGCTAAGGTAACAAATTAACTCCACAATTTAATTGGCTTCACAACAAAAGTTGATTTTGTTTGCAGTACATACTCAATGCATTTTGGTGAGGAACTCTGCTCCCCACAGTCTCTCAGAGACTCCAGTTAATGGAGCTCCACTTTCCTGTAGTTCTCCACATGGCCACTGTAGCCTCCTTAGTCTTTGATTCACTGTGGCACTGGAAGGGAGAGAGCTGTGGGATTATGCACCAACTCTTAAGTGCTTTGGCAGGAAGCAACACATGTGCTTTTGTAACTTGCAGCCCATGCCAAAATTACTTATATGACCCTGCATGACTGCAGGAAGTCTGGGAATATAGAGGAGGATGCATACATATCCAGGGAGCATTAATGTTTCTTCCATGGGTTTTCTGGCTGTTGGGATGGGAAATATCCTTCAAATACAGCATCACTTCCTCTCATAAATAGGAAAATATATTATCATAGGATTATGTGAGTGTTCACAGTCTCCTTCCTTCTCTGCAGCAGTCTGTGCCAGCCATTCTCATTTTGCATTTGCCATGGAAAATCACCATGATAGTAACAGCTGCAAAGCTGAAACAAAATGAATAATGGCTAACATTTACCGAGCACTTTCTGCATGCCAGATGCCAAACAGAACGCTGTCTGATGCATACTTAATAATTGCACTGTCTTTCTGTGTAGATATTAATGTAATGACAATTTAAATACAGGCTGCACAGATATGATTTGAAGACAGGAGAAATTTTCCATTGGTAGAGAGTAGAATTTATCTGGAAGGTGAATTGGGAGGGAAGAAAAGTCAAGAGAATATGTACATGGGTTGGAAAAAAATGTTGCAGGAAGTGAGCATCCTGCTGGTAAATTGTATGTTGAGAAGTTCTGCTACCCATTAGGAATGGGAAGCCCCCATTTTCTTAAAAGATCCCCAAAACATACAAATAGCTTTTTAATTATTGGTAGATACGTGACTCGGAAGTTCTGCTATCCATTAGGAATGGGAAGCCCCCATTTTCTTATAAGATCCCAAAAACATTTAAATAGATTTTTAATTATTGATGGAGACATAACTGGCATTCGTTCTAGGTGTCACTCCAGACAGAAACAGGTCTTACAAAGAAGCAAGAGCTGGGGCTTTCTTGGAGCTCGCCTATTCTCATAAGTGTATTTACTCTCTGAATATTAATTTTCCTCATCTGCAAAACAATTAAGAGAACTCCCACAAGGTCTTTGTGAGGATTTGAGATGATGAATCCAGAGCATTTAACCTAGCACCTGGAACGTCGCTGTGCTCACAATACATACCAGGCATCAAGCTCAGGCTGGAGACACAGGGACAGAGTAGATACTGCCACTTCCCTTGAGCTGTTTAGTAACTTAGAAGATGTAAACAAATGCCCAACTAATTCACACTTAAGGCTGGCTGTGCGAAATTCGCCACTGATAGAGAGAGCGAGAGAGTGAGCACCTGGTGAAGCCAGGACTGAGTGTTCTCTCCAGCAAAGGGTAACTGGGAGTGGAGGTGGGCAGGCAGTTCCTGCTAAGTGAAGATTCTTTTCTTTGGGACCTCAACTGCTGTGCAAACATCTCCGCTTTCTAAGCCTTGTGTGTAGAATGGACAGTTATAGCCACTTTGAAAGTATTTTTGTGAAGATTAAATGAGACAATGAAATATGATGCTTAGTACAACCTCTGAAATGTGGTAGATATTAGGAATCTTAATTTCTTTTTCATTCTCTTATCTTTCTCTCTTTTCTCCTCTTTCTCCTCTTCTTCTTCAGCATCTATTTCAGGACTCAGCGTCATATCAGAGAAATAAGAAATTAAAAGATGAACACTTATAGTAGAAAAACAAGCATTTATACTTATATAATAGCTACAAATTTCTCTCTCCTTTTGACTACTGCTTTTTTATGTTGACCACCCTCTTCCGTTTACTAAGAGTAAACACGCTAAGATTCATTACTCGAAGGCTACAATTCTTATTGATTTTGTTCTTGGAGAAAAATGCATTTTTACTTCTCTCTTGTTTTTAAACTTTTTTTATCATTGGCCAAGTCAACTATATGTTTGGATTAAGGTTGTCAGATTTAACAAGTAACACAGGACACCCAGTTAAATTTGAATCTGAGATAACAATGAATAATATCTTGGTGTCTCATGCAATATTTGGAATATCCATAGTTTGGAGAGTTGGAGAGTTTTATAAAAGAACACTTCCGACTGACTAGACTTCACCAGATAGTAAAACTGAGAACATCTGGCAACACGCCCCTTTGCAAGCCTGGGCCCCTGTGGGACAATCTAGGACAGGGAGACAGCCTGGGTTTAAGGTAAGACAGATTGAATCTTGAGTTAGCCATTGTGATCTGGGTTAACTTACTTAACCTTCACTCCATCAAAAATTATCTGCGGAGCTCATGGCAAGTTGTTACAAGCACAAACCCTGGATTCAGAAGATTGCTTACTTCCTGGCTCTGCTGTGCAGCTTACTAAATCTCTCTGTGCCTCACCCAAGGCTGTCCTGAGAATTAAAACATGTTACTTTTTTTTTTTTTTTTGAGATGGAGTCTCACTCTGTCTCCCAGGTTGGATCGCAGTGTGATCTCAGCTAACTGCAACTTCCACCTCCCCGGTTCAAGCGATTCTCCTACCTTGGCCTCCCCAGTAGCTGGGATTACTGGCGCATGCCACCATGCCTGGCTAATTTTTGTATTTTTGGTAGAGACAGGGTTTCACCATGACGGCCAGGCTGGTCTCAAACTCCTGACCTCGTGATCCGCCTGCCTTGGCCTCCCAAAGTGCTGGCATTACAGGTGTGAGCCACTGTGCCTGGCTAAATGTGTTACATTTATAGACTTCAGTGGACAGTGTCTGGCAAGTGCTATATAATGGTTAACATGTAAGTAATATAATTAAAGTAAAGTAATGGCAAAAACCACAATTACTTCTGCACCAACCTAATATAATGACAATAATAAAAATCATAAAATATAATAAAAGACGTTGGTACTCCAATAGTAAAAAAGACAGACAATGATCTTCATATGATAGAGTTACAGTCCTCAAAGTTATATCTTAAAAAGACTGAATAGAGATCCAAAACTTTACCATAAAATTGTCATTATTTCACTACATTTCTCATGACTATTACTGGAAAATTATCTATAAACATTCGTTTCTTCAGTGACACTTGCAGAGGAGTAAGTCATGTGATGATAGGATAACAGTGACTATACATTGAAGGGGATCAGAATATGCCAGCCAAAATATGCTATCCCCTAATGAGCAACTTTGGGCTCATGGATCATTTTGAGTGGAAGGCCATTGAGAATCAATAGATGCAGAAAGAAGCCTTCTTGGAGCTTCTCCTACCTGACTATGTGCAGACATGTCTGAGAAATTCTCTCTCCTGGAGAGTTTTATGGCCATGAAGAAGATGGAAAGTGGGCGCTGAGTGGGCGCACAAACAACCCGTAAAAAATGAGCCTTATCTTCCATTGGTTTCCCCATATATTTCCTTCCCACAATCTACCACCTCTAGAAGCTCAAAACTCTTTCCCTTTGTCTTGTCACTTCACAAATTTCTCATCTTTTTGTTAAAGTGATTTATAAGCCCCCAAATCTGATGGCCCTTTTAGGGTTTTTATTTCATTTTTGTGAGGACTCATATAAGCATATGAAAAAAAAATTTCTCCTGTAATCTTTCTTTTGTTTGTTTAATTTGCAGGACCTCAGAAATTGAACCTAAGAGAGTAGAGGAAACAGGGTTTTCCTCCCGTAGACTACAACTTATTGATCCTCTCATTTTGAGCACAATCTGTTATTTAGCTTCCAAAGCATCCCATGAGACAGACATTGATAGTTGGGTTACACAAGATAAAGGCCCAGGGGTCTGAGGTGTAGCCCCAGCTCCCAGTCACATGATTTCCAAGTGGGAGAACTGGGAATTGAACCATGGTCTCTCAGATATGAAAATCTCTTTTCCACAGTGTTCTGTTTTACTCTGCTGCTTTCAAAATACCATCTTGGAGTGCTAGTAAAAAGCCTGGATCGAAAACAAACAGAATCACCATTTCAAAGCATTTTGGGAGGTGGAAGGGTTAGAAATCCAGTCACACTCTCGGGAGAAGGGCTGAGAAGTATTGCTGTGACTGATGGGACAAGAATCCACCCAAGAGTCTTGTGAAACTAGTTTGCAACATGTCTATGTGTTTTATCACAGCAGCCCTGGAACCGGCAGGGTGGATGGTGAAGGCAAATGCTCTGGAGTCTTAATTAAACATTGTGCTACCTCCATTCATCAAGGGTCCCAAATCAACCAAGGTTAGTTCAGCTTGGCAAGCAAATCTGCCTTCTTCATTGAACTTTTCAGCCAAAAGGTGCTGAATCAGATATAGCATAATTATGGTGTGCTGTGGAGGGTGGAAATGCACGCTGGAGTGTCAGCTGGTGTGGGCTAGCCACAATGAACGACACATGTTCTGAGGCATTACGATGGTCCATTCAGCCAGTAACCTTCCATGTAGATATCAGCTTCCCCTTCTGGGACAGAAGGCAGAAGCCTGGGGATTCTAGACAGTTTGCCCGAGGTCATTAAGCTGGCAGGGGCATCCCTGGACTTCAAGCTTAGGCAGTTTGGCTCCATGAGCTGTGACAGAACACCAAAAAGTGAGGGGCTGCCTTAAAAAGTCCAATGACGGAAAAGAGGCAAAGATTCTATTTGTTGACCATCTGATGTACTAGGAGTTTAACATGTAAACCAATGGGTTTACGTACCCATTTGGTCCTCCAAGCAACCCTACTAATGACTTGTTATTATTCTTATTT